TTTAAAAAAATAGACGAAGTAGAAGAAGATTGAATGTCACCACTGTCGGTCAGGCAGTTTTACAAGTGAACATTTTTAAAGTAAAAATCGGGTTAAAAGGCATGCCTTGGGAGAGGCCCAAGTCTCTGGCAGTGGGCTGCCATAGGATGATTGCTTCATCACTTTAAGAAAGAACTTTCTGACTTGATGACCGTTCCAGTGGCCCCTAAATAGGTGTAGACATTGTGTTTGCTTTCATAAAAATACATTTATCATGAAAGTTACACATATTCCCTGCCTTTTTTCTACTTCTGTTCTATAATAGGTTCATTAAAAAATAAACCTGAGAATTAGGAATTAATAGCGCTTTTGAAAACCACATTGATTAGCAAAACTGTTATTAATGATATGGCTATTCTCGGGGTTTCTCAGCGTGATAAACTCAGAAATGGGGATATCCGCAGTCGAACCAGAGTGACTGATATAGCCCAACGGCTTACTAATAAGCTGAAGTGGCAATGGGCCGGCCATATAGCTCGAAGAACCGATAACCGATGGGGAAAAATGTTCTTGAGTGGCAGCCTCGTACCGGTAGGCGTAGTGTAGGGCGACCCACTATTAGATGGAGTGACGACCTGCTAAGATATTCAGGAAGTCGGTGGATGCAGGTGACTAAGGACCGGGCTCTGTGGCATTACTTGGGGGAGGCCTATGTTCAGCAGTGGAATTGTGTAGGGCTGTAATGATGATGATGATATTATAATTAATATCATCATCATTACAGCATTATATAGCGGTCAGGAACCGCTGAATCGGCTTACCACAGTGCCCAAAAAGTACTGTTGTAATCATTCCTTCTAATTATCCTGCAATTTAAATAATTAATTTCATTTCGTTTTTAATTAAATCTTTTTTTGAAACCGAAGTAGAAGTACATAGTGAAAACTTAATTTATATTTCATAGAAAATTTTAGAAAAAAATGATTAAACCACAATTTATTCTCGCATTTCAAAAATATTGCTGTTAATAAAACAATTATGAAATTAGCTCAACGGAATGACTTTTACTAGTATTGTGGTAAGTAAATTTAAAAATTTATGTAAGATAACTCTCCTTGTTTTTAAAACCTTAAATATAATCCTTAGTTTGATTCGTAGACGCTTTAGATGCGTACATCATACAGTATTATATATATATATATATATATATATATATATATATATATATATATATATATATATAATATACTTTTATACTACTAGTTATAATTTTTGAACGTGGTAGAGCCATACTGCAGCTATATTTAAATAATTGGTTATGGTTAAGAAAACTTAGAAAAGTGTGTGTGTGTTTGTGTGTGTGCTGTTTTTGCATAGGTTTGTTAAGGATCCACTTGAGAATAATTTTTTTCCACTCATATTGATTTCGAGAAAAGAGGGATACTTCTTTACAACGTCAAACCCTTTTTGAGCAAGGGAATAGGTTTCAGTCCAAGTATTAGAATGAAACACAAGTACAGTGTCACTTGCGTAGGAAAATATCATCCCATTTAAAAGATTGATGTTACACAAGTCATTTATGTATACTAAAAACAAACTTGGGCCGAGAATACTTCCCTGCGGTACACCGTATGTAATTTGCAGGTCAGACTACTATAAGGGCCAATCCTAACACATTGAGTTCTATTACTTAAATAACTTTGGAATAAAGATAACTGAATTCCTCTTACTCCTAAAGATTGAAGTTTTGAAATTAGGATAGGTATCGAAACAGTTTCAAACGCCTTTGTAAGGTCAAGAAACAAGGCAATACATTTTTGACGTATGTCTAGATTTCTGACTACAAAATCAATAAGGCTGTGGACAGCATCAGATGTACAAAATTTTTTTTCGAAAACCAAATTGATTTTTAGAGAGCAGTTTATTAGTCTCTAAATAATTAACAAGCCTTGTATTAATTATTTTCTCGAGGATCTTCGACATCGTAGGCAAAACTGATATAGGGCTGTAGTTTTCGATACGATTTCGATCGCCGGATTTAAACATAGGGTGAACTACCTGTCTGGAGACTCAAATTAGAAATATATATAAGAGGTTATATATATATATATATATATATATATATATATATATATATATATATATATATATATATATATATATATATATATATATAAGGTATAGAGGAGGTATTTTTGTGCTTCTTTAAGAATTCTGAAGAAATAAGTAACGGATGCCGGTAATATTGCGGAGCCTCTTTTTAATTTGTCTGCCAGTGATTTCCCTATATTTGAAAAATATGTGTTTATATCCTCAACAGTTTTTTGAGTATTAATTTCGTTGATGTCTAGGAGATCAGACGCCGTTGATTGCTGTTTAGATACATGTGTAACAGTTTGAATGACTTTCCACAGTTGTTTGGAGTTTTTGCCGGCTCTTTGAAATTCCAGCTTCTCATAATTACTTTTTGCATTTCGCAGGAGGTTGGTACAGAAGTTGCGATATCTTTTATAAGTAATTCTAAGAATCTGGTTAGATGGATTTTTTTCGATTTTTTATATAATCTATCTATGTTTCGCATGCATTTCAACAAAGCCAGAGTGATCCAAGTCTTAATAGGTCTACGTCTACAAGACAGAAATAAAGTTTTGGTATTGTTGGCTATAGCTGAAATAGTAGGTTTGACCAAGAATTTAACAGCTAACTTAGGGTCATCCGTCGTGTATACAGAGTTAAAGTTAATACAGCGCAATTCATGAATAAGCTTATCTTCATTTATTTTTTTTATAAATTTACTATAACATAATTTCATTTTAATTTTTGAGAGGGCAAACATAACGGAAAAGTGGTCTGTTACAGTAGTTTCCAGAACTAGAACCTTAGCGGAAAAATCAGTTCTTAAATTAACGTGATCAAGAGTGGTAGAACCATGAATTGGGAAGTTGTGACAAGGAAGAAGTCCATGATGAACAAATAGATGACGATAATCTAAATTATTTGTAGAATGAAACCCGTTGGCAATATCTATATTAATGTCTCCTACAAGAATAATGGTTCGGTATGATTTAAGATCCGTTAGGACAAGATCCAAAGACTAAAAGAATATTGAAGGATCAACAAAAGCGTGTGGTCTATATATAGCAACAATAGCCACATCTACACCTATAGTAATCACAGACAGTTACATTCAATTGTTATAGGTTCTTTTACTTTAATACTAGCTAAACGAGACTTGATAAATACAACGACACCGTCACCGTCGTAGTTTTTTGAAGTTTTGTAATGATTTTATCCATTGAGAATCAGAATTATAGGACTACAAGATAGCCAGCATTCAGAGAGAACAATAATGTCGCAGCAAGTATTAATTCTTTCTAACAACGTTAAAGGACCCGAAAAGATAGCATTGATGCTACGGATATTTTGAGACAAAATAGTGAGACAACTATGATAAGATGTAAGCAAATCAGCACATTTTTCGGGATTACATAATATTGCTTCATTAAAGAAAGTATTATCAAGATTATTTAATAGATCATTTAATGTAGCGCCTTTTAGATATGTTTTTAAATAGGTAGCATAAACAAGATTTTAATTTGTATTCGAAAATAAGAATAATTTAGCGTATTAAATATATCCATGAATGTGTGCAAAGAGCAAATATTATGTAATTTGTGAGAGCGTTTGATTTGAGAGTTGAATTTACATGTTTTTTTGTGTGAGTTTATAACAATAGTCGAGCATGTATATATTATTTGTTTGTAAATATTTTGTGTGTTGATGTGTTAGTAGTTTATACACTAGTATATTATAAAAGTAAACAGTGGGTAGTTTAGAATGCATACAGAATAACATATAACATAAACATAACATAAACACTCACGCCTGTCACCCAGAGGGGTAGGCAGAGATTACAGACTTCCATTTGGCACGATCCTGACACACCTCTCTTGCCTCCTTCACATCCATACACCTACGCATACATGCTCGTCGGTTAAGGGTACTCCTAATTTGGCCCGTTTTCAATAAATCGCCAATTTGGTCGATAAATTTTCGCCTAGGACGTCCCTTTCTGACTCTGCCATTCACTTCTGCACCATAAATTTTCTTTGTCACTCTTTCCTCATTCATTCTTTCCACATGACCAAACCACCGAAGCATTCCTTTCTTAATCCTGGTCACAACATCATCTTGCAAACCACACTCTTCTCTTATTACACAATTTCTTACCCTGTCGTTCAGATTCAGCCCTAACATACTCCTTAACGACCGCATTTCTACTGCGTTTATTCTACTCTCGTGCTTCTTCTGCCACACCCAACTTTCACTACCATACGTTAAAGTAGGGACCAACACAGCATTGTGAATTGCCATACGTGCCTTTTTCGACACATTTTAACTCTTCACAATAGAGTGCAAGGCCCCATTTACTCTATTTCCCGCATTCACTCGTCGTTCTATATCCTTGTTATATCTCCCATCCCTGCTAAATACGCAGCCCAAATATACAATATAAAAATATACGGAATAATTTTGTAAATATAAAGCCATAGACACTCTTAGTTAGACATGCAAGCAATTTACAAAAAATCGTAATTAAATAAGTAATGCATAATATTACAAATGTATCTAGTCATATTATATTTTTTAAATTTGCAATATCATTTTCATTTTTTATTTCTATCCGAGCGCCACCTTCAGTTTTCCGCAAATAAATTCGGCCCTTGTTAGTCCAGCTATAACGGTAATTCATTATCTTAGCTGTATCACGTGCTAAAATATAAAGTTTTCGGTCCTTCTTTGTTAAACTTTCAGACATATATATCGGCATTGTGGAACTAGAAAGACCAATAGATTTTGAGGAGAGTTTACTATTAATGTTAATTTTATTAAAATCGTTCGCTCCACTTAATATCTTGTTTTTGACAGTACCGAAGTTAATTCGGTGATGACAGTAGACACGCCGGCTTTGGCTTTAATTCTGTAGATATCTTTTATCTCGGATGGGTGAAAATTAACATTTAAAACATCGCAAATCTTTTGAACCAGATCTCTTGCTTTATGTTTTGTGCGGGAGTAGGTAAATTACGGAACTCGATGACTGTGAACTTAAGCCTTTTTTGCACGTCTTCTAATCTATTTTCCAGACTCAATATATAATTATAATTTTCCTTTCGTTCACGTTCTAAATTGATAATTTTATTGTTCATATCTTCATACTGTGTGGATATGAACGTTAACGCATTTTCCATTTCAATATTAGTTGATTGAACATTGGTGTTTTGTTGTTTAAGTTCGACAATATCTGAACAAAATTTACTCAAAATAAGAACTTGATCCTTCTTCCAATTGGGGAGCATGGATAATAATATTTCATCTTTAAGGAAATCATCAATACCTTTCCTTTGATCTTCATTTCTGTGTCCTTTCTGCCTCCTCCCTACATAATTCAGTAGATTTTCAGGTTCAATATTTGAAATATCACTCTTTGACGACACTTGATGCACTTTATTTCCTCGGGGTGATCTACGTATTATCGACATAATAATCTTTTATTTTAAGTCCGTAGTTTTCGTTGTGGCAGAAGTACAATATAAGTAGGTTGTTCAGAAAACAAAAGACGACACTCGGTCAGCTGATGCGCAAAAAACAAATGTACTACGACACACACGCAGTCACGGATAGACACCACATTTATTATATGAACTCCTAGAACTTCGCTGTTAATTAAAATTGACGGTTAATTTAAAAGGAATATTTTATTAGTGTAACTAACACACGCTCAACATTATAATAGGTGAAACTTGGAGTGCTTTGATTTTGAAATTAGCGGGAAGTTCCAGTAACGGCCTGCAGGATCAATCAATTTTTTAATTAAAATGGACACAATTCTCTTGATTGTATTAGGTAAATGGCTGCTACAATAATAATTAATAATTAACCTAAGTGGATTTCTGATAGGGAAATATTAACCATCTAGACAAAATCTTTAAATTTAATTCTTATATGCATCGAATAATGTGATAAACTTCCATTACTAGCAAAAGTAGTATTAATAAATTAATTTACAAGCGAATATAACTTTCATTGCTGAACATCCGATAAAATTTCTGAATGCATTTTAATTCAATTTATACTTTCGACCTGCGAAAAATTTACTCGTTAAAGTCCATAAAGTTGTCAAACTTCGAGCATATTTCTATCATACCAAAATGTTATATGACTATTACAGAAATTTTATTATTTGCGAGTATTAACTTTTTATTATATTTAAACAAGAATTAACAAGTATAACATGTACATATTATGTGATACGTCAATTATGTTAAAATGATTCATTATACATTTATTGGTAAAAGAAATTTATTTTTATATTTGGGAGGATTTTCCTCTATATATATACATACACTAGTGTCAGGAACGAGAGCGAGGGGAGCTTTGCAGAAAATGACATCACAAATCTTTCAACCGACAGCGCCATCCGAAGAACTAAGTTTCTAGAAAATCTACACTCGAACACTCGTCGCTTTGCGCGCATTTACTTGAATATTCCGGATGCTTCATTGCTAATTTGTATATATAGGCGTTGCAAGATGCGATCGGAGTAGTATTGGATTTGGCGAGACAAGCGAAGCTTCGGAGCGGAATAAAGTGAATTAGTGTGTTTAATTATTAGTGTTTTAAGTTTTAATTTGTGTAAAGTAAATTAAAGTGTTAATTTTGGTAATTTTATCGGCAATTTTTATTGTCACGAACCTCCAGCTCGTAACAATTGGTGTCAGAAGTGGGATAAAATCATGCCGATTTTACCAAAGGAGGAATCGGAGGGTGTCCGTACCCGAAGTCAACGCCAGCAGGAGACGGACCAGAGGAGATTTGGTGGTGCAACGCCGCAGATGTCGGAAGGCAAGCCACCGGCTGCAGGCCCTTCGGTAGCTCCTACATCTGCAGCACCTGACTTAGGTGCTCTGATAATGATGCTGAAGGAGCAGGCTCGCCGACAGAAGGAGCAGGTCCGTCAGTTGAAAGTGCAGCTGCGGGGCGGACAGGAGTCACAGGCCCGCCGACAGGAAGACCAGGTTCGTCGTTTGGAGGAGCAGCTGCGGGGCGGACAAGAGGAACAGGCCCGCCGACAGGAGGAGCAGGCCCGTCGGTCGGAAGAGCAGATGCTCCTCATTAAGGACCTTCATGCTACCTTTGGGAAAGAGATAAAGGAGGTGAAAGATAGGGTTGCTCAACATGACAACCGCCTGTCGGAAGCTGAAACCCAAATCAAGGAAGCTAAAACCCAAATCGACCAAGTGAACAGTAGGGTTGACTACGTGGTGGTTGACGTGAAGAAAACGCTGGATGACCTCAAACTGGGTGATGGAACTACAGCCCCCGTAGTAGCTACTACACCTTCGCTACGTGGGTTCAAAGTGCCACCGTTCGACGGGACTTCTTCTTGGTCAGCCTACAAAATCCAGTTCGAGGCTGTTATGAAGGCGAACGACTGGAATAAAAGTCAGGCCATGACTACTCTCACACTAGGCCTGCGCGACCAGGCCTTAACTGTTCTGGAAGCTCTCGGTGAGGAAGTGACTTATGAGCAACTCCTTGAGGCATTGGAGGCGAGATATGGCGACGCTCACCTGGAACACGTTATTCGTGCGCAGCTTAAAGATCGCGCACAGCGCATCGACGAAAACCTGCAGCAGTGGGCTCTAGAGGTGGAGAAGCTGGTGCGAAAAGTATACCGGTCTGTACCTGCGCTCATTGAAGGGAACCTGGTGCAGACATTCATCGACGGCATCCGCGACCTGGAAGTCAGAGCTGCTGTGAGGCTCGGGCACCACGAGACGCTTAAGGACGCCTTGGCCCATGCACTGGAAGTGGAAGCCGTGCGGCAGGATCATCGTTCCCATCGCGTCAGGGAGGTTGCAGCAGCTACAGTTCGCGACCGCAACAAAGGATACAGCCCAAGGTGCTATGGCTGTGGGGAAAGGGGCAATCTTCGATCCAGCTGCCCTAAGCGAACTGTAGAAATTGAAGTTGAACGATCTCAGGAGGGTAGTGCGGCCAACAGCACCGCCCAGCAGCAGCAGGGAAACGAGTAAAAGCCAGAACTGCGGGGCGGGTGCTGGCTGATGTTAAAAGAGCCCCAAGGATCTCGATCTCACAAACCCATGATGGGAACCGTCTAATTATCAAGGGCGAGGTCAACGGAATGCCGTGTAAACTGACCATAGACACTGGAGCCTCTCGTACGGTTGTTAGTTCCCAACTTATAAGTCAGTTCCTTGGGGACTCCGCATACAAACGAGAACGCATTAATTTAGTAACAGCCAGCGGTCAGCGTATACCCGTCCGTGGAGAGAAGGAGATGGAGTTGAAGCTAGGCAACATGATCTACCTGCATAATGTCATCGTGGCTGATATAATGGACGACTGCATCCTAGGCCTAGACTTTATGAGGAATAATTGTTGTGAGATCGACGTTAAGCAAGGTGTTTTGAAATGTGGACAGGAGGAACTTTTCATGGAAGTTGCGTTACCAGGGAACGTGTACAGCATTAAGAAGATTGCTCTTCCGCCGAGATCGGAAACGATTGTTCCGGTTAGTCCTCCTCGAAACACTGGGCAAGCTCACCGTTGTGTGCTTGTGGAAAGGGTAAACAATGACCTTCCATGGAAAGTAGCTCGAACCTTGGTCAGGACCACTGACATCTCAGGAGTACGTGTGCTGAATCTTTGCGACGGGGAACAGATTATATAAAAAGGCACACTGATTGGTACTTGTGAGGAAGTGGATTGGTTACGCCGGTGCCAAGTATATCGAGTGGGACCCCCAGCAAGGATGCAGAAACGAGAAGTGACCACACTTTTGGAAGACTGTCGCAGTGTTCTCTCCCCGAACGAATTGGTCAAGGCGAAGAAGTTGTTACTCAAGTACGCCGATGTATTCTCATCAAACGATGCTGACATAGGAAAGACTGGCTTAGTTCAACATAAAATAAACACAGGAGAAGAATTGCCTATCCGTCAGCGGCCAAGAAGATTGCCGGTAGCACGTGAAAAGGAAGTGGAAACCATGATTGAAGGAATGGTGAAGAATGGTGTTATTGAACCTTCCTCTAGTCCATGGTGTTCACCAGTGGTGCTGGTGAAGAAGAAAGATGGCAGCATGCGGTTTTGTGTTGACTACCGCCGAACTTGTACTTACCGGGCTAATTGGCGATGCCTGTCTGGTCTACTTGGATGACATCATCATCGTAGGCCGTACGTTTGATGAACACCTTCAAAACCTGGAACGCGTGCTCATAAAGATTCAGTGTGCCAACCTCAAGTTGAGCCCGAAGAAATGTTCACTATTCCAACGGCAAGTTAACTTTTTGGGGTTTGTAGTATCGGAAGAAGGTATCCGCACAGATCCAAAAAATTGCCGCTGTCAAGGATTGGCCGGTTCCAAAAAACAAGACGCAGGTTAGAGCATTTTTGGGTTTGTGCTCCTATTACCGGCGATTTGTGAACTTTGCAGATATAGCCAAACCTCTGCACAAGCTAACCGAGGAGAACGACATTTCTGCTGGGATGGAAGTTGCAATATCGTATTCCAGGAGCTCAAGGACCGTCTGTGCAAAACACCTATTTTGGGATACCCTGATGCAAGCAAAGAATTTATAGTTGACACAGACGCAAGTGATATAGGAATTGGCGGTGTGTTGTCTCAACGGAATGGTGACCAAGAGGTCGTGATAGCGTACTTCAGCAAGTCGTTGTCAAAACCGGAAAGGAACTATTGTGTCACAAGACGCGAATTGCTAGCTGTGGTAAAGTCGTTGCAGCATTTTAGCAAATATCTTCTAGGACGAAAATTTCACTTACGAACTGACCATGCTGCACTAAAATGGCTATTGCAGTTTAAAAATCCAGAAGGACAAGTTGCGAGGTGGATTAAACTACTGCAGGAATACGACTTTGGGATCGGACATCGGAGCGGGAAATCTCATGGCAACGCAGATGCATTGTCAAGAAGACCTTGTCCTGAAGATTGCAAACATTGTACTAGGCAAGAGAGTAAGGAAGAGGTATCCGTGAGGATGCTCAGGACGGACCACCTCAGCAACGAATGGAAGGACAGCTTACAACTTGCACAGCAGGAAGATCCGGACATCAAGCCGATTCTGGAATGGATAAAGGCCAGTGCTCCCAGCCTAAGTGGAGCGACGTCTCAGCAATGAGTTCGACCACTAAAAGCTATTGGGTCCAGTGGGACAGCTTGCTGCTTCAGGATGGAGTTCTGTGCCGTAAATGGGAAAATGTTAGGGGAGACAGCTGTCATTTGCAAATGGTTGTCCCTAAAGCTAAAGTACCGGATGTTCTACAGCTGTACCATAATGATTGTTCCGAAGGCCATCTGGGAGTTAAACGAACCCTACTGAAGATCCGAGAACGGTTTTATTGGGTCCACTGCCAAAACGATGTCGAGGACTGGTGTCGCAAATGTACAAGTTGTGCGGCTGTAAAGGGACCTCAGACTCGTAGTAGAGGTGCATTGAAG